AGAGAGAGAGAGAGAGCCGTTGATCAGTCGCATGCATTGTCGGAGCGCGGTTTCCTTTAACGGTTCCACATTGAGATACGACCTGAACGAAATCACAATCTCGAGTCATCGTCGCGCTCGAAGCAGTTAAATCCGTAGCACCTTGCTAACAGCGTACCGACTTGGAGCCACACATTGCGTTTCCCGCTATGGGGATATAACAGTGTCCGCACGGTTATATATATGTGTATAAATTTATATAAATTTTGCAATTTTTTTTTACGAGCTAAAATCTTATAAGTTCAGCTTATATCGCCGAGATAAATTATCTCGTTTTAGAATTAATAGAATCTTAATATGCGATATGTTTAATTGTCGGGGTATTTAACGTTGAAAAACTATTGTAATTGATGATGATGATGGCTTTTAATCAAAGTTTTTTCGAGGCGCAAGATGGAATTTATTTTTACAAAAAAGGTAATGATGCGGAACCTTGATGCAAATTGTTCATAATAATCTCTCAATTTAAATCTTATGATACTTGACTGATATAATGTTACGTCATAAAAATTGTTAATTATTATTTCCATATCAATTTAATGAAAATTATTTGATGCATCAAGATATCGGTAACTAAATTTACTATTATATATAGAAAGACACATGTTAATGGACAGACATACGATAATTCTCATTTAATCAATTAACAGAAATATTCAGTTTTGATTAATTCGATTAAAATATAGATTAAAATTTAGTTTATCAAAAATTTTTTTAAAACATAGAATAGAATTTATTTGTACTTTGATCTTATAGTCAAGAAGGGGAAATTTTTTAAAATATAATTCTGTAATCTAATATTCTGGAAAATAACTATTTTATAATGAAAAAAAATATTTTTTTTCCTAAACAATTTGATATAATCGGAGTTAATTTATTGAACAGAAGGCTAACGTAACAATAGAACACATCGCACGTTGTACACGGCATGTCTTTTACAATACGATAATAATATGTACAGGATGCTTGTTTCTGTCAATCAGTTAGTAATGATGACAACAACGATGACGCATGACAGGACGGAACGACCGGTTCTTTCTTTTTTTAATAGTCGCAGTTTATAGACACTCGCTACTCAGCGAAACGCAATCAGCGATAAATTTACAATCTTCCACGGCGCGGCTGACATTTTCACGGTGGTTTATAGTAATGCGTCTGGAGTTACGGCTGTGACGACAAGACGGACATTCGGAGCATTTGTTGCCTCGAGCGCGTATATCTTAGACCGCTCGAGCCTCTAATTCAAGTTGTGATGTATTCATTCTGTGAATAGTTATCTTAGAACCTGTATCTGACTCTCAGACATATATACAAATCATTTTCCAGCGAAGTTATAATCATTTAATTTACTTAATTAACTGAAACATCGTATTATACGTAATGTGAAAAATGATTTTTTTTTTTTTTTTTTTTTTTTTTTAATTTAAATTCAGTATTGACGAAGTCTCTTGACGATGATCATGAAAGTTGCACGCGACACACTTGCTTTAACGTTCGATCGAAAACAAGGCTGATGTCAAGGTTCAAGGCCGCTGAAAATCGAAAGGCTCATCAATCATCATCGCTATCGTCAATTAACGGTGATCTAATCGTTGATTCAGCAGAATCGATTCACGGTGCAAATCTGGAGACGGCTTCTTTTGCGGAAGCTTACGTCACTGTCCTATTTTGTCATGAGCTATCCGTCGATCTTCTTTGACGGAAGAGCTTCGAATGTCGAGACGTTTGTTAGGCGAGGTCGTGGCCGTTGCGTTAGGGCAAGGACAATCGTCTTACTTCGAGGATTTTGATGAGTATTATAGTGATCATCAATTGGTCATGGCTCATCATATTTGTTAGACTTTTTGACTGCTTACGTCACTTACGAAAAAGTTATAAGGAAATAGAGCAGATAAAATATTAAAGCTGAATCTTAAAAAAGTTGAGATGAATAAGCATGCTAGAAGAAGAAAATGAATAAATGTAAAATGAATGAAATGGATTAATTACTCGTTACAAAGGGAAGAGATTGTTATAAAATATAACACATTTACATATATACACTCGCAGATTTATACGAAATAGTTTATAGCTCATAAAATTCACAGAATTTTTAGTTTGCAAAACATATCTTTACCGTTTGGAAAGTTTTATCACTCTATCCTCGCATTATTTTATTTTGGTTAGAAAATATGCATTTATATGCATAAACAGTTTTGTATGTACTGTTGTAAAAATAATAGGGAGCCTCAATTCACAGGATTAGCTATTATGGGAACTGGTGAACATGCAAAGCCATAATCGTGAAAAATCATAATCACGAAAATTGAAAAACTAAGACAATATCTCGAAAAACCACAATCTCGAAACCTCAAAAATTAGACAATATCCCGAAAGGAATCATAATCCTGAAATATGAAAAATGATATAATATTCCGAAAAATTATAGATCAAAATGAACATTATCCTTTTCGGAACATTATCCTTTCGGATTGTCTAAGTCTTAATATTTGGGGCTTTTTGGGATTATCATTAAATTCATTAAATTTCGCTCTTAAAATAAATTATTTAAATATAGATTGCCCCACAAGGCGTACAAATATTACATTTTAGATTATGCTAAAATTTAATATTCTCTGGAAATAGATTTAATATTCTCTGAAAATCGCTAAGATTACAATTGCAAAAAATTAAGATTGATTTTTTAAATTCTATTTATTGAAGTAGAATAATTATTTCAATTTATTCTAACCGGATATTATAATTTAAAGATTAATTATCGTATATGTCGATACTTCAGCAACAGAATATTTATCACGTAGTGATAAACGATGTCTGCAAGCCTAGATGATAAATAATACCATTTCCCCTATTCTCTCGCCTCGCAGTTATTCTTTCTATTTCCGCCCCCCTGTCTCGCAAACTTCATCCACTGCCGACCGCCCTTACCAGTTCGTTCGGAGGTCGGTCTGAAAGGAGGATAAGGCTGGCAGCCGGTTAATTTATCGAGTCGGGGAAAGTTTGGTGAATCTCCTATTTGCATTTTCCATAGATTGCTTCTCTGTGCGCGTTCGCGTGGCAATCTGCGGTGAATGAAATTGATAAAGCTCCCTCATAACACATTCACGATAATCCCACTAAAACAACTCAATATGTCTATTTGTACAAAGAAATACAAATTAGTAGATAACAAGATGAGCTACGAAATAAAATCAAACTCTAAAATTATTTTATTTATCACATCATCTGTTTGGAACAAATTTAAAACTCTTGATTCTATTTCTTTGTAAAAATTCTATTATAAAGCTTGTAAGTCGTCTTTAATTAATTTCTAAAGTTAACAAATTAGTTAACTGCCAAACTGTAATTAGTCGGCAATATTCTCTTCATTCACGAGCCGTTACTTGTTATTAATAATGATAATGAATGTTTAACTATAATAAAATCGCTCCTGAGAAAAGCTTTATTTTCTGCTCGGGATGGTTACTTTTTCGCACTTTGTGCACTTTGTTTCTCCCTTTCCTTTTTGTCGTTTGTGCGAGTCGTGGGGTCGAAAAACGAAAGTGCGCCTTCATGCAAAATCGGCCGGCGTGCTGCCCTTTGACCTCGCCGGCTAGTCGGCCGACCACGGGCCCGTCTGGCTCTGGTCGATGGCGAGCAACGGTGAGCGTTCACAGTTAGGTTCTCACGGCTCATACATGAATGCATGTATGCGGCTTGAAACGCTTGCGATGGAGCTCGATGGCAACGGCGTACTGCAGACTGCCTTCTGGCTACGATATCGGTACGGTAGTCACCGATCGTCGGAGAGAGTGGCTTTTGAACACAACTGTGATGGCCCTTTGCCTTAACAGCACATCGCCATCCCATTTTCCTCAATCTCGTCCGTGAAGACGAGATCGATCCGATGTCGAGCGAATACATGGCAGAGGCGTGGTGGCAATTACAGATTCGATTTTTTTCTTAAATCTTTAGATTTTGTATTTAACAAGAAAATTTTAAATTTTGCGTTGTTCACTTATGAAATAGAAAATTTCGTGTGGAGATTTGTCAATCAGAGATTTGAATCAATCAGATCTTTAAATGTTTAGACGAATTTTGTAATAAAATGATGCGAACAAAATTTAGAGAATTTGTATTTATAATTATATATTTAGTATTATTTTTATATCTCATATTTTATAAAGATTTGCTACTTTCAACATAAATATAAATTGATGTAATAGAATATGTGCTAATTTAATATAAATTATAATAATAATCATGTTTTTTATAGTAAATTAATGTTTTTCTGTAACGCATAGTTTCTTTTCTTCTCGGTCGTTGAACTTAAATTCTGAATATTCACGCTTTTTTCGTAATAATAACTAATTCAACAATGATTAACCTTGATTTCTTTGTAATTTCGCGAAGCGTGCACGCGACACGAATTTCAATACGCGCGTCCTCTCGCGCATGTTTCACAAGCGGAAATATTTTTGGTTACAGTACTAAATGAACTCGAGGGTCTGGCTCGAGGTGCCGACGCGAGAGATTGTCCTCCAGCGTCGAGAGCGACTCTAAATCCCGAGCATGTGGCGCGAGTTGCCGAGAACGCCAAGGCGGCACTGGCCTTCGCGAGAAGCCGAAATCCGGCGATCCGGTGCTTAACCACGAGGGGCACCGTTCTCACATCCAGTACTTTTACAGTCGAGGAAGACGTCGACAAGGTAAGTAAGAAACAAGACGAACCTCAGCGATTCGATACGCTTAGCCTTTTAAGTAACTGTATTTGGCCGAGGTATTCAGAAGGTAAATTTGCATCGATCATTGACCGCAACTAGGTGTAGCACTCCGATGTACAAATCTGTTTTACATTTTTTTACTTATTTCTTATTTAATAATTTCAGAAGACTTTCCGAAATTGCCGCGGCTCGAAGATGAGTCGCTTATATGATTTTCCTCTTCTGCATTTCGCATTTTTTTCTTAACTTATTAGGAAGAAAGTCCGATTAATTATTCATATTCAAATACTCTTTAATCCAATATTTGTCATTATGTGTCATGATTTATCAATTCCAATTGACACATCTGTCTATTTCCATTTCATTAAGCAGATAATACGATTTCGAATATTAATAGCGATTATAGAATTCGTTCCGACTTGATTTGAATACGTAAATTATCGAGAGGTCATTATTTTCATCGGGATTTTACATCTAAAAATTCGTTCGTGGCATGCCACGACAAGCGATAAAGCAAATCGATTGTGACATTCAGTCGATAGGATTCTAACAGCCATACGCGGAAAGTAGCCATGGCACAAACCAGTCGTTTCGAAGATCAATGGTGGCGAAGAGGGGGCAGACACTCGAACACGGTGTTCATTGAAGCGAATGTTAACGAATGATAACGAGCCGAGAACACCCACGTGGTGTACGTGCAAAGTATTTTTTGCGGGTATTTACGGTTTATACCTAGTTATTTCCGTACTAATTTTCGTGACGTAATCGAAGACTCAATTTTAATGATAATTCTGCGACGAACACGGAAGCTCGGTCCTTTTAACTACTTGTCACAACTTAAATGGAATGTAATTATCTACTGAATTCATCGATATATTCGGAATTTCAATTATCTTGTTCTAGGATGGATTGACACGGAACGACGACAGGATATTAACTACATGCCTCAGCCTTTGCAGGAGCAACAAGGATCAAGCAAACGCAGGTAAGTATCTCGAACTATATTAGAACGCGTTAAAATATCGTGTTTTACAAAAAACTTCACTTCACGATTAAATGTTTTATATATTTGATATTCTTTTGTGATTTTACTTTTTACTGCAGAAGAAATTATTTTCGTCTATACTAAAGTCTACATTTATCAAAAAATATCTATAGTTTAAATCTATAGTTTTAAATTTAAATTTATTAAAGATTATGTAGAAGAAATCTTCTTTGTTAAAGAATATCTAAGAAAAGAGACAATATTTCGTGAGTTTAAATTTATTGAAAACTTTTGAGACGAGAATACATAATACTTAGTAACGGGAGATCGTAAGCTTAATAAAAAAATTGGGAACCCCGGTTGTCCGAACAGAAGAGGGACAGCCGAGGCGTTTGAGACGGGAGGTGGTTCTACTCACGGAGGACCGGAACCTCAGGGTGAAGGCTCTCGCCAGGGACGTGCCCGTGAGGGAAGTTCCCGATTTCATGCTGTGGGCTGGACTCGGCTGAGACGGCATGACGTGGTCGCAACAAACTCCGATTCTCACCTGAGAAATTTCCCGTGTTCCCGCCGCGCGAACCCGACCAAACGTCAAACGAGACCAAACGCAACGAGAAGAAAAACAAAAAGAAAAGAAGAAAAAAAAAGAACGCCCGTCATTGCCGATGGATCTTCGTCGCGGATCTTTTTCGCCAATTGACCGTTGACTATGTTGGCACGACGTTATCGCATAAGTCCACCGCAGGTTGAGTATTCAGATTCAGTCTCCCGATGGTACTCCCCCCCTTTTTTTTTCTAAATTTTTTTAAAGTCCTATCACGGAGAAACCGCGAAGTGCGGTGAGCAAGGAGCGAGTTCTATAGAAGAAAAAGCAAAGCGCTCACGGTCGCGTAAAATTGCGAATGAAGTACGGTACGGACAAAACGGGAAAAGAAATAATGTCGGAGCCTGTCGCTTGCCGTTTCGCTTGCCGGAAACGCGAGCTATTCGAAGGCTCCTCGAGAATGAGCGTGACACTATCTATCTTGTAACACTAACTGTTCCGTGTATCTCGAACGTGCAGACATAAAAATCCCGAAGAGAGTCTTTTCACACGAGGACCGTGTAACGGACGGTCCGAAAGACACGTCGAATCCAGGACATTCATAGTGTACACCGAAGTAAAATCATGAGACCAATCCGAGGGGAACGTGAATGTATCGAGAAAAAGCGAAGAAACCGGTATAAAAAAAAAATACTACTATTGTCTTAAAGTATTGTCACTATTTGTAGATTTCTTTTTATCGATAGCACGGCCGCCTATTGCGACCGGATGATTATTTTCTATGATTTTGTTCGCCCATATTTACTATGTTCAGACGTTATTATTAAAATTTTTATATCCTATATACGGTGTGTGGTTTGAGAAGATATGATGCGTTTATCGTTTTGCCAGTAATTGCAAAATATATCTTTTTACGCGTTCCGCGTAAGTCCACCGTGACATTTTCTATGAAGCGATTCCCCCCCCCCTCCGTTTCTTAATGTTGAAGTCATTAACATCATTACCTTTAAGCTGCCATAAAGTAAATTATTAACGACGATTTATTTCCAACGAGTACTATGTGTGTCGTCAGGAATATCACCAAGATTGCAATGATAATCGATGTAACGTGATCATTGATCATGTGCTCGATCGTCGCCGATCGATAATCACCTTCGATAACATTAGAAACGATCGAAAATCGCTTACTTTCGAAAATCGACGTTGGACTACGTTGGACTACGATCAAATACTAGAATAAAAATTAATTATTCTTGTTTTTATTTATATATATATATATATATATAATATATATAAAATTTATATAT